ATGATGGAAAATAATGGCTTTTCTATTAGAGTTACCGAAATTGTTCCTAAATTTGCAAAAATTCGCAAACTATAGCTAATATTAAAAAGGGGTTAGAATATTTGGAACCAGCGACCTAAATGAACGCCAGCAATATTAAAGCTGTTCTTTACATCGTTCGACTATAGACCAGTGCAATTATCAAGAGAACAATTAAAATTTTATTGAAAACAGATACCTTTGAGATTAAGCATAAGCTAAAGGGCTGCGAGAAATGATATTTGACTTTATCTTCTGCGTTAACGAATTCATTAACTAAAAATATGTACCAAACCTTTTTGCTGAACCCAGAATTTTTAACAAGAATTGGTCTTATTCGACTAGTGTGCTGTGGGTCACTTGGCGGTCGATGCGCGGGCTCTTACAATTAAAATAAAAGACTAATATTTTGCAGGCTTGTTGTTCACTTCATGATACAATATATTTTCACTATTACCAAGGGATTTGAGAAAAATTAGTTTTTCGACCCGCCCTAATGTACTTACCGTCCTCTGTGTATTTATTTCACTATGAAGCTAATATTTTCTCTCTTAAAGCCGGTAAAGACTTTCACACGTGCACTGTAAATAAACATAACCTCATACTTTATAGGTAGCAGTAATCCCGAGACCACTTGTCACAAACGTGTGCCAGACCTTCCTATAGACCATACTGTATCCAACAACCCGCTATCGCAGACGGCGGTGAATGGAGGTATAATTTAATTAAGTTAGACCGGCGTCACACATTTGTGTCGGCGGTCCCACGTGAAAACCCAGCTGACACATATATGTGACGCCTGGTAGCGAAAGTGCTAAGAGCGAAAAACATCACACAAGCGGTTGGTTTGACAAATCAAGCGAAATATCCCTTTGTGTATAGGGGCGTTTAAAGGTTTGATAAGCCATTTGAGGGAAATGTGAACAAAAATCAAAATTTTTTGATTTTTTGGCCGCCATGTTGACGCAAGAGAGAAAAATCGAAGAAAACCAAACTCTTTTACATTGTGAACCGGAAGAAAACTTAAATTATTTGCTTGAACGAGTCATGTTTGCATAGTGTATGGCGAAATGCGAAAAGTAGGTTTGAAGAATGTTAGACAAGCCGCTTGTGTGGTGTATTTTGTTCCTTCTAAAACTTCGGAAAGCTTTTTGTTCAAACATTTGCAGAGCGATTTAACAACTATGTTGTTTAAAACATGGTTGCATTTGTTATCTGCAAATACATCGAGAGACAATTCCGCAAAATAAAAATCCTCAAAAAATACTCAGCTGACCCGAAATTCCTCACGTTTTGAGAAATTACTCACAAAGTGGTCACACTGCTCTAGCGAGATTTTTTCTTGTTTTTTCTCTGCCGTGTATACTTAGCTTTAGGCTCAAAACATAGTGGAGCGACGAGCAAAGAGCATCGAGCAAAGCGTCGATTTCAATCGCATATGTTTCAATGGGAGAGCGCTTAGTGAATAGGAAAGCGTACATACACGTTTGTAATTGAAGCTTTGGGCGATGCTAGCTCTTCGCTCGCCGCTCCACTATGTTTTGACTCTAAGGAGGCACCAGAATCACGCAATAAGCATTACCAGTCGTACCGACGAGATTTTTCAAGTGCATTTTCTAGAGAAATCTGTAACCAAAATATTTTCAGTCGGCTACTTTTGAGTTCAGAACCTCAGTTGAGCTGTATAAGACCAATTTATAGAAGAAAATTCTTTTGCCAGAAACTAAGTACATATATATCTCTTTAAACCGGCGAAATCGAACCGGAAACGGATTATGCTGCATCTGAAGAAATCTAGTTTGCATTTTTTTTAATAAATATTAATTTTTTCGCAAATATTTGCCTCTTTTCTTCTAATTATATTTATTTCACACAAAGAATTTTGGCCTACGATATATCGCACACCGTCTTAAAAAGGCAACTCAAAATAATACATTTGTCAGAAAATGCGAAAAACTATTTCGTAGCACGTCTTGTGATACTATGAGATGTTTCTTTTTTTTGTCTCTCGGGACGTTGAAAGGCGGAAATCATTTACGTATTCTCTTAATAATCATATGGGACTTTTATTGAAATGAAACTTCTTAATTGAGTTCAGACATTTGACGAGTTAAATATTTAACGCCACGATTATCCATGTCATCAAATCTGTACCGTTCGTTAGATTTTCAAAAGCGATTGTGTCAAACTAATAGGCTTTGTTTTTACGTGGTTTTAGTTTTTTGAAAAGGGTTACCAGATGTGAGCAAATCAAATTCCAATAGTCGAGCTCGGAGATATTGGCGTTTAATTTCGTGAAATCGGCAGTACAAGTACCGATTCTATTAAGAGAAAACGTTGAACGTAAATCATTGTCGTCTTAAAATAAACGTCACGAGAGACGAGAAAAATAAAAGTCGCGTATAATTACTATGAGAAGACGTAAATCATTTCCGTCTTAAAATACACGTCCCACGAGAGGAAAAAAAATAAAAGCCCCACTTAAGCATTATGAGAAGACGTAAATCATTTCCGTAATGAAATAAACGTCCACGAATGAAAAAAATAAAAGTCTCACATAATTATTATGAGAATACGTAAATATTTTCGTTGTGAAATAAACGTCCCGAGAGACGAGAAAAATAAAAATCCCATATAATTATTATGAGAATACGTAAATATTTTCGTTGTGAAATAAACGTCCCGAGAGACGAGAAAAATAAAAATCCCATATAATTATTATGAGAATACGTAAATATTTTCGTTGTGAAATAAACGTCCCGAGAGACGAGAAAAATAAAAATCCCATATAATTATTATGAAAATACGTAAATAATTTCAATCTGAAAACAATCATCCCGCGAGACAAAATAAGATATTTCTCGTAAATAATAATATAATATTTTGAGTTTCTGCTAGAAATTCTTGTTAAAAAGTTTGCAATTTAAATTAAACTGTGCAGAATATTGATAATTTTTGCACAAAGTTTGATAATTGGATTTATTTGGTTATAACAAAATAAAAATTAAATAAATTAAAAAAAAGCCAATACTTGATGAAATGTCTCGTCCCCATTTATTTTTCCACCACTACACATATGTATATTTTTATTTGATCTCAATAACAAAGCCTTTAATTTTTATATTGTGGATTTGTCATATTTTTATAACATTTAATACTTTAGCATAAGGAAATTAAACTACTTGAACCGAACCGAACCGCGGTTCAGGAATACTCGTGAACCGGTTCTTGTACCGGTACAAGCTTTTTCTATGTGGTTCGAACCACTGAACCGAACCGCACCGATTTGGAGTGGTTTGCAGCCCTGCCTTAAACAGCCTAGTCCTCTGACCAGCCTTCTGCATAATCGCAAGCAAAATGTGGTCCAAAACTTTCCAGACTCTCTGGGTAGAGCCTATATGTTGTGCGCCACGATGCAGGATCCCAGGAATAATACCTCCTCCCCGTCTATCTCTATGACAACAACCACAGAGTACTCAGTGTATGAGTACAATGACGTTGAGTTATACCACAAGCTCGGTCAGAATTGGGAGAGACCTCTTCGAGCCATTTGCTACAAAATGGGGTTTCAGACAGGGTGATTTCTTCAATCTGATGCTGGAGAAGATGATAAGAGCCGCAGAACTGAACCGCTCGAGAACAAATTACTACAGGAGCGTGCAATTGCTGGCTTGTGTCGATGACATCGACATAATCGGTAACAAAAACTGCGGAGTCTGTTCTGCTTTTCCAAGTTGAATAAGAAAGCAATATTAATGAACCTGGTGATAAAAGGGACAATACGAAGTATCTCCAAACATCAAACACACAGTCACCGCATTCGCGCCATGACACCCACGTCTCTGTTGACAGTTATAATTTCGAGAAAGTAGAGAATTGCGTTTACTTGGGAACCAACATTATCACAGGTAATGACATCACCATCGAATTCCAACCCCGGAGCACATTTGCCAACAAGTGTTTCTTTGGACTGAAGCACAGTCCTCTCTTGACGTACGAAAACCACAATCTGTGAGTCAGTCTGGTATATGACGCAGAAGCATGGACAAGGACAACATACGCAGAGGAGGCTCTTGGAGTATTCGAGATAAATATTTCGGGGAAGATTCACGGGCCTTTACGCGTTGGCAAGGGCGAGTACCGCATATGACGGATCTATGAGCTGTATGAGTTTTACAACGACATGGACATAGTGCAGCGAATTAAAATACAGCGGATCCGCTGTCATGTCGTTCGAATAGACACCGACGCAGCAGGTTTGAAAGTATTAAACTCGGAACCCGCTGCTGGTAGCAGAGAAAGAGGGAGGCCTTCACTCCTATGGAAAAATCAAGTGTAGAAGGACTTGGCTTCCCTTAGCATTTCCAATTACCGTCAGCTGGCACAGAAGAGAAACGACACGCGTGCTTTGTTGAACTCGGCCAAAATCGCGCCGAATAAGAAGCAGACATATATGGTTATGGAACGCTAAGGAGTTAATCAGCACAAATTAGATTTTATAAGAATCCAACTAGAAAAAAGTAGGTGCTATTCTACTCTCTGAGACACATGTCACCAACATATATAATTTCTAAAATCCTGGATGTTAAGCTACTAATCACCCTGATGCTGAGGCCCATGGCGGAACAAATGCGCTGATTAGAGATCAATTAGAATGCAACGCAGTAGAACGTTATGCCACGAATAGTCTACAAGCTACACCAATGTCTTCAAAAATCCACGGTCGCGACCTTAAAATCTCTGCTTTTTACTCCCCACCGCGATATTCAATTGCATAAAAAAAATTTAATTGGCGACCATGCCTAATTAATCCAAAATGTTAGCTCTATAATGCTATCATAACATAGCAAAGCAAACTAGACTGCATTTCCTCTGGTCAGCCTACCTACTGGCCATATGATCGTACAAAAATAAAATATTTAATTGATTACGCCATATCAAAGAACATATACATATATCGGGGACCGAAAATAACAGTTATTTTTTTTTATGAGTCAAACTTGTCAAATTAAACAAGTTTGGTATTAAGGCTGTGTGCGAGTACGTCTAAATTGCTACCTAAGGCTGTGTGCGAGTTGACCTAAATTTTAGTACCTAAACTAATATTCCACTGGAAATTTCCAGCACTGCTACAATTTAGGAAAATAGCTGCTAAAAGTGTGCGAGTTCGTTTGACAATCTAAATTGTTTGTTTTGGAATTTGAATTTGCTTGCTTTTAATAAATATATCTATAAAATGAATAATCTTGTGGTATCTTTAGGACTATTTAACAATATAAGAAATTTGCAATAGAAAAATTTGCATCTATAAAAGAATGCGTTTGCTCTTCTGACCCTGCGAAATAATATACATCCATCGAATTACACATATACTTATCTGAATGCGAAAATCAAATAAATTTATACTTACATCTTTCTGAATATTTTCTTTTTTGTGCCATAGCAATGATAAAAATTATTTAAAACACCAAAAAATCGTTGTTCACTTAATTGCTCGCTCAAATATATTGACTGTTCAATTTAGGTTGAAAAGTATGCTCGCAGAAAATCTAAATTGTTCCTATTCACTGCGTTACCGACACTTTCCAGTGATTTAGGATTTTTCTCTATTTAGGCTGTGTGCGAGTACGTCTAAATTGCTACCTAAATAGAGAAAAATCCTAAATCACTGGAAAGTGTCGGTAACGCAGTGAATAGGAACAATTTAGATTTTCTGCGAGCATACTTTTCAACCTAAATTGAACAGTCAATATATTTGAGCGAGCAATTAAGTGAACAACGATTTTTTGATGTTTTAAATAATTTTTATCATTGGTATGGCACAAAAAAGAAAATGTTCAGAAATATGTAAGTATAAATTTATTTGATTTTTGCATTCAGATAAGTATATGTGTAATTCGATGGATGTATATTATTTCGCAGGGTCAGAAGAGCAAACGGATTCTTTTATAGATGTCAGTATGGAGCATTATCCTTTTCTGTTGCAAATTTATTATATTGTTAAATAGTCCCAATCACAAAATTATTCATTTTATAGATATATTTATTAAAAGAAAACAAATTCAAATTCCAGAACAAAAAATTTAGGTTGTAAAACGAACTTGCACAGTTTTAGCAGCTGTTTCCCTAAATTGTAGCAGTGCTGGAAATTTCCAGTGAAATATTAGTTTAGGTACTAAAATTTAGGTCAACTCGCACACAGCCTAAATGAAAGAGGACTAAAATATCTTTATAACTGAAATGTCTAAATGAGGAAAGCGACCTATTGAAAAATATTTCAATAAAAAATATTACTTAATTACCATAGAACAAACTTGGGTAAGGTATATGAATTTCTTTTGTATTAAATTATAAAAAAAAAATATAGATAGTGGTGGTAACCTTCGTTGGTTATTTCTGTTTAAAATAGGGTGGCCAGATGCGCTGATTTAATCAGTAGATGTGCTGATTTTTTTTTATTGTACATACTTATTTTTAAGAACCCGAAATCAGTACGCGAAATCTACTGATTTTCTGAGTTTGTACTGATTTTTACTTTTAATAAATATTTTTGTGAATTGGTATAATTGACATTTACTTGAGATTAACATGTTCAAAAAATGGCTTTTGACAACTCATACGTGTAAGTAGATTGTAAGCAATTTATTGAACGTGTAAATGCAGCGTTAATTAAATTTAAACCGTTAGCATTTCGCAAAATAACTGCTTGAATTCCACACAACATAATAGCCCTGTTCCAGGTACTTCACGATTTGGGGGTTTACAGGATTTACAGTAAAAATAGTTTTCGTCATTAATAAACCTTATGGAAGGTGGCTTATAACACTTACCGATTAGATAAATAATTGGCATTCAATAAAGGACTCAGTTTTTTTACACATAAGGAGTTTCAAAAACAACAACAAAAACATACGCACGCATATCAGTGATCGGACTTCTGCCACATTGTGAAAGATCTACAACTTTTTTGAGCATCTACCACACAAGGTCTGAAATCTAACACATCTTCGCGTTTTTGAGTAGTTTCATTTTTGCTCGCCATAATTTTCTTTAAAAAGTTTTCCAACACTAAACCCAATACGGCTGTTCAGGATTTTGTGCATATGTTCTTGCATTTGCATATTCGATGCATTTGTAAATTTTCAATCATAAAATAAGGAACTGCGTTTCACTGTCAACAAAAAATTGCCAAAACTCACCGCGATTTTTTAAAAACTTCAAATTTGAACTTCGCTATATTAAAATTTAAAATTTTTTTCTGGAAATTCTAATTAAGAAGTTTGCAATTTAGGTGAAACTTAGCATAACATTTTTATTTTTGCACAAAGTTTGAAATTTGAATTTATGTAGTTGTTAGAGATAATGACCTATACTTTTATAAAAGTTAATCAAAATAGTCAAAACTTGTCCAACTGTCTCGACTCTATTAATTTGTTCGACACTATAAATAGTTATTACGTTTTCTGTTTCGTAATACATAAAAAAATAAGATTTG